TTTGGAGTGAAATGGCGTTTTCTACAGTTGACGTCACCGCACAAGTGCTGCTGGGTGCTAATGCTAGACAAACAAACCGCGTTTACCAGTAAAAAAAAACTGTTGGACGTCGATTAAAAACAACCCGACAGACACCAAATTCAAACGTTAATGCTCGAACAGTTTCTCATGACTCGCAGTGCTCAAGTCACATTTTCTGTTTTTACTCTTAAGTTATTATTTGTGTCACTACTTTTTACATAGCACCCACCTCTGGTCAAAAGCCTTTTTCGTCAACGTTTGGATGCTGTTTACCGAGGTGTTTAGCTGGACCCCTTCGTTTACGTCGCAGTCTCCTGGGTAACGCCACATCCAGTGTACGGCTGCTAGTATTAACTCATCATTCTCTGACCTTTCCCACAGGGAAAATGTACAGAACAAATACACTGAAAGTCCGCTCTTCCACCTAGTTACTACCCCCACTTAGCTTTTTCTGGCCTTAGCTTGGCCGGTTTCTCTTTCCACCTGTTTCATGTTGTCACGGACCTTACCCAACTTTGGAGAATAGATTTAAAAAATGTCCTCTCTGACATCCGAACTGGGAATCTAGCATCCGATTACCGCCCCTCTCAACATCAGTGCTTATTTCCTTCCTGTTTGAAAATCTTTAGGAGACGAAAATGCAACTTTAAGACAAACGAAGCGACTCGGACCCATAGGCAGTGATCAAAATATGCGCCTGCTTGTCTAGGGCTACATCCCACAATGCATTGTGGCGTTACTTTGCTGTCTATTTTTAGCTACTGTAGAATACGTTATTAAAATGTTCAGGTGTAGATGTGTTTCATCAACATCTGTCCAGTGATATGTGAGAAAAGCTGTCAATGAACGTCTGCACACACACACACACACACACACACACACACACACACTCTAACATAGTGTTGTCAAAAAAATTGATACCTAGATAAAAGTCGATGCTAAAAGTGGTATCTAAATTAGATATTCCATCCCTGTGGTATCGATATTATGGACTATTATACACAGCCTTCTTCAAGTACACCGACACGCACGACAGCCAGATGCCGTAAAGCAGCCTCCGCCTCCCAGACAAACAGAAGAATAAGACGCCGCATGGCTACATTGCAATTTCCCACGCGAGTTGTCTCCGATCCAAGTTTTGTCTGCCAAATAAATAAACAAAAACATAAACAGCGAATTTGGGAGGCGCTTCACAGCCCAACTTAATTAGCATACCAAGTCTGACACGTAGTTGTATATTCACGCTTACGTGCTTAAAGGAAACTCCCGTTTATTGCAACCCGGACTTAATTTCTAGCATGCAGTACGTTTGTTTACTCACGCTGACAACTTTGGTTCTACTTGGATTCCCCGGGGTATTTAGATCCATCGGCGAATCGCCATCAGTGTAAATCCATATAACGGGTGTGGACGGGCACCCATGGTGCAGCCTCGAAATTAGACGTTATCTGCACCAAAACATCTCAATGTCGAAAGGTTTTGTTAGGAATCATTAACGTGATTCCCCTGTTCGTTTGGAGTGAGTCTGGGATTTCTAGGCGTGAACAGACTAGCCGCGGCTAATTAACCGGAGCTTTTAATGACGTCACTGCCGTGTGCCAATCTGTTTTTATTAAGATTACCGGTAGATGTACCTTTGTCCTACTGTGGAGAAATTCGTTTTCTCCCTTTATTGACCAACAGAGTTGTTCAAAAGTACAGAACAAAACATATGGCCTTACATCTTATGACAAAAATGCACCTTAAACAGAGTTTAAGCAGCAAAACATCACTCTGCAAATAGTGTACAGGTGCTGGCCAGTAAATTAGAATATCATCAAAAGGTTGAAAATATTTCAGTAATTCCATTCAAAACGTGAAACTTGTACATTATATTCATGCAATGCACACAGACCAATGTATTTCCAATGTTCATTACATTTAAATTTGATATTCATAAGTGACAACTAATGAAAACTCCAAATTTGGTATCTCAAAAAATTAGAATATTCTGAAAAGGCTGAATATAGAAGACACCTGCTGCCACTCTAATCAGCTGATTTACTCAAAACACCTGCAAAGGCCTTTAAAAGGTCCCTCAGTCTTGTTTTGAAGGCACCACAATCATGGGGAAGACTTCTGACTTAACAGCTGTCCAAAAGACAATCATTGACACCTTGCACAAGGAGGGCAAGACACAAAAGGTGATTGCTAAAGAAGCTGGCTGTTCGCAGAGCTCTGTGTCCAAGCACATTAACAGACAGGCGAAGGGACGGAAAAAATGTGGTAGAAAAAAGTGTACAAGCTCTAGGGATAACCGCACCCTGCAGAGAATTGTGACGACAAACCCATTCAAAAATGTGGGGGAGATCCACAAAGAGTGGACTGCAGCTGGAGTCAGCGCTTCAAGAACCACCACGAGGAGACTCATGAAAGACATGGGATTCAGGTGTCGCATTCCGTGTGTCAAGCCACTCTTGAACAAGAAACAGCGCAAGAAGCGTCTCGCCTGGGCCAAGGACAAAAAGGACTGGACTGATGCTGAGTGGTCCAAAGTTATGTTTTCTGATGAAAGCAAGTTCTGCATTTCCTTTGGAAATCAAGGACCCAGAGTCTGGAGGAAGAGCGGAGAAGCACAGAATCCACGTTGCATGAGGTCCAGTGTAAAGTTTCCACCGTCAGTGATGGTGTGGGGTGCCATGTCATCTGCCGGTGTTGGCCCACTCTGTTTCCTGAGGTCCAGGGTCAATGCAGCCGTCTACCAGGAAGTTTTAGAGCACTTCATGCTTCCTGCTGCTGACCAACTTTATGGGGATGCAGACTTCACCTTTCAACAGGACTTGGCACCTGCACACAGTGCCAAAACCACCAGCACCTGGTTCAAGGACCATGGTATCCCTGTCCTTGATTGGCCAGCAAACTCGCCTGACCTTAACCCCATAGAAAATCTATGGGGTATTGTGAAGCGGAGGATGCAATACGCTAGACCCAACAATGCAGAGGAGCTGAAGACGACTATCAGAGCAACCTGGGCTCTCATAACACCTGAGCAGTGCCACAGACTGATCGAGTCCATGCCACGCCGCATTACTGCAGTTATTGAGGCAAAAGGAGCCCCGACTAAGTATTGAGTGCTATACATGCACATTCTTTTCATGTTCATTCTTTTCAGTTGGCCAACATTAGAGAAACAAACATTTTTTCATTGGCCTTTAGAATATTCTAATTGTCTGAGATACCAGATTTGATGTTTTCATTGGTTGTCACCTATAAATATCAAAATTAAACGTAATAAACATCGGAAATACATTGGTCTGTGTGCATTGCATGAATATAATGTACAAGTTTCACGTTTTGAATGGAATTACTGAAATATTTTCAACCTTTTGATGATATTCTAATTTACTGGCCAGCACCTGTATATATAGTGAGACAATTCATGATTTAAAGTGTTAACTTTCGCCAGTTTTTGCATGCACGTTTTAAAAAATGCTGATACTTGAAAGGTTTAAGCACTTTATACACTTAATTCTTAACATTTAATTTTTGCAATATAAATTGAGGAATGTTATTTTTTGAATAAACTTGTTCGATAAATGGGTGTTTTTAAATAGTATCGAAATCGAGTATCGAGTTTTTTTCCAGTTTTGAATCGAGTTTGAAATTTTAGTATCGTGACAACCCTACTCTAACACTAGTCTCATCATTTTGACTCGTTTAATCTCACAGGAAAGCAAATTCTCCCTTTTTTAAAAACGTTACTTCGTTAGCTGGTGGCTTTCTGAACGATCAAATGAACAAAATACGACAAATTACGTATGACGACTTGTTGCATTTAAAAAGAAAAAGACAGCGGGAGAGCGTTTGGTTCATTTTCTTTCAGCTGAGCTTTATGGAGAATTCCTCACTGACCTGTGAGATTTGACCTAGCAGTGATCTCACCAGTCAGACGACACGACACTGTAGAGAAAATCCTCCGGTTTCTCTGCCAAATGGAGCACAGCAGAATTCCTAAGTAACTGAGCGTTCAGTTACGTTTCCTTTATTTCATGATTTTTCTCTAGTTTCCCCTACGCTCCTGGTGATGACGAACGGGAATACTATGCCCAGACCTAACCCTGACTGGAATTTCTGGCCCCATTCTTTAACCTCTCTATTGTTAACCGAGAGGAGTGATGAAAACGTTCCAGTACATTTCTATCCCCCTCAGCTCAGTTACTCTTATTATTTGGGGTGGGTACCAGGTGTGTTCTTTTAGCAGCATTTGTTGACATTTTCAGCCTGTTTACTTCCACCCTACAAGCAGAGGAGTAGATTAGCGGCACGTGTACAGTATCCGTTCCCTCCATGCCTTCCTTATTGTTTTCCCATGATGCACGTCCCTCAAGAACTCTGTGGACCCAGTTAATGTCTCATGATTCTTGTTTTGGGCTAATCATGTGACCGTATCATGAATACTGGGAGTAACTGATCTCACGCCGTGCTTCATTAGCCACTTAAAAATGGCTGTTTGTTACAGTCTGGGTGGAAATGTGGGGGTGTTTGGGGTTGATTTGCGTTCAGACTCCGAGAACATGCTGATTTGGGACTTAAATGATTAGAAATCATGAAATCTTTCATATTCAAGTGTGCGATGGCTTTTTAGCAACATTCTTATGAGTTCAGTGAAATTTCTGCTAAACTCAGCATTTAGTATCATGGCTAAAAAATATGATGATCTTTTAGGGGTGGCGGGCCATTCCTTCAAGGAAGGCTAGGCCTTTAATTTTTACTCACAGTAATGAGATCGATGTTGTCAAAGATGTGGGTTTTGTGTAATTTTCTTCTTCTGCCTGAGATCCTTTAAGGTGTTCTGGTTTTTTCTCCCAGACATAGACCGTGATGGAATTTGTCTCCCAGGTGCGTAAAGTTCTGCCAGCATAGTGTCTCTACTTGTCTCTTTATGTGAAGTATTTCCTGGAAAAGATCAGCACAGACTTGCTCGTCTGGCTGTTTCCAAACAGGGAAAATGGTTTCAGAGGAGTTTTGGGATTTACGGTTTCAGATTTAAAAGTCAAAACTCACTCGCTGATATTCTGTTATCTGAAATTAAATCTGTACCAAAAGAACTGATGTCATCAAAACCAGAAATTTACTTTAGGTCTTAAAGAAGGAGCCTTAATCAGATGTTTTCATTCATTTTAATGATTATTTGATGTTTTATATTCATTCCAGTTCAGCTGAGTTCCTCCTTGGTTCCAGATCTGATCAAATCCAGTTTCTACAGATGGACAGAACCTTGTTTATGTTGTTATAATCCCACTCAGGATTAAAATCTCTGTTTTTGATTCTCACACCGAAAACTCGGAGTTCTTGGAAAAACCTTTTACAGATCTAGAACAGACTGTGTGAGTTTGAGCGTTATTCTGACTCATTTCACCCAATTAAAGGCGTAGTTTGTAAGAATGACATCCAGTGGTCAGATGTGGGTACTGCAGTCTAATTTCAATAAAAAACATTACAATCTCACTGCCGTTCCACGAGTTTCGTGGCTGTTGCCAGTTACGGATCAGCCCCAGAAGATTCTAGATGACAAGTAAAGACGAGTCACACACAGTAAGATTATAAGTAGATAAACATGTTGTCGTAACTGGTGTTAGCACTCTTAGATGTTTTACGGTAGGGAGCACTTACTACACTTATTACAGTCTGGTTGTCTTGCTGTTAGCTTGCTGGTATTATTCTGAATGATTCATTTTAAGGAAGCGAAACGCCACGACAGACTCTTTATTCACGTCACACACGTTTCACTTTGATATGGAGTAGGGCAGCACGGTATTAGGAAAACCTGCAATATTTGATAACGGTGATTAATATTGCGGTGACGATATTACTTGCGATACATAAAAACTTAAATCTGGATAAAAAAATAATCAAAAACAAAGAAATAAAAAAATCATAAAAATGAGAAAAGCTAAAGATGTGAGGAAAGGGAAAAAGAAAACGAACAAGAAAAGGCGATCAGTGGATCCCGGGAAAAGCAGAATCAGCCGAAAGAGCAGAACAAAGCTAACTCAGGTGTTCGCTAACCATCAAAATTAAGTGCCGTCCACCTCGGGGGCGGGACTCTAACCTATGAGAACCCACCCGATTGGCCAAATGGGTGAAGAGCTCTATTTGATTTGATAATAAAACATCAAAGCTTCCATTTGATTGACAGAATGCATCATGTGTAGCAAACATTTGAGCCGACCATTCATTACGATATTTATCTGTTCTTTGCGATATGCATATTGCACATGCTGATATCGCGATAACGATATATTGTGCAGCCCTAATATGGAGTTATTGGTAATTTAAAAAAGTAGCTTTAGATATTTTTAGAGCCAACTATTTGCTGTGTCTCTGGCAGTGCTCCTCGTAAACGGTCCGGGCTCTACACATCTCGTTATTTCACATTTCCTGTCTTTGCACCGCTAACATTATGTTTCTCCTCTTTTATCTGATGGGGGCTTTTCTGTAGGCCAGCGGTTCTGGTCTACATCCTCCCTCCTCACAAAGCATCGAGCGTAGCTTCATGTAGCTTTAGGCATCCTCTCCTCTTATGTAAGATGACTAGCTTTACTGCTGCTTCCAGTTTGACCGGCCATCCCTGGATTAGCGCTTCGCTGTAATCTGGGACACTGCAGATTATTCTTTTCATCTAATGCGCCCCTACACACACACACACACACACACATGACCCCCTCACACAAATGGAAGCGTCTCTGTTTCATCCTTGGATCACCAGCTGAATGGTAGAAAGTGAGCGAGGAAAGGAGTTGACCTGAAAATGTTGGAATCAGAGCGTCATGCTACATCGCTGCTAGCATTAGCATTAAATGCTGTTGGAATGATGGACTGAGGGTTGACCTTTGGGATTACTCTGAAGAAAGTGTGTGTGTGTGTGTGTGTTCTGCTGCAACAGCTGCTTGAGCTGACAGGTAACTTATTAACAGCCTGTAAGGAGCAGAGCGTTTACACCCAGGCTTGTTGCAGCAGTGACTAAGGAAGATGCTTAGATCAACTCAACCATCCAGAGCGAGCATTGTAAACCAGCAGGAAGAGCGACAAGCAGCCGGATCACATGCACACAATCAGCACATGGCTGGCTGTGCTTAGGTAGCAGCAGTGGGTAGTAGGTGGTGTCGCTGTCCGACCAACGACATCCGTAAACATGGAGCCGCTGGAGGAGTACCTCTCTCCGTTTGACTTTGAACAAGGAGTCAACACCAGCTACCTCTACCTCTCCCCGGCTTACGGCGACACGCCGCCCAGCTCACCCACCCTCAAAACCAGAGGTAATCACAAGGAAAGGGAGCGGCTGACTGGAGGGTGGGTGTGGGTGTGGGTGTGGTGTGTGTGTGTGTGTGTGTGTGTGTGTGTGTGTGTGTGTGTGTGTGTGTGTGTGTGTGTGTGTGTGTGTGTGTGTGTGTGTGTGTGTGTGTGTGTGTGTGTGTGTGTGTGTGTGTGTGTGTGTGTGTGTGTGTGTGTGTGTGTGTGGCACAGGGATTGGTTCACTGAACTTGATGTATTTGGGGAACGAGTTTAACTGGTGGGTGGTGTCTGACGCCTGTTGGATTCATCATTTTTACTTTTAAATAGAAGCTAAACATAATTTTTCATGTGAAACATATAACTCATGTAGGGAGTCAGCATAAACGTGTATTTAATGATTGAACTGAATGCAGAGGCTGTGAGTTACTAGGTTACCTGACTTTCATAAGATCATCAGTCTGTTAGCATGAATACGATCACGTCAGCAAAACTTTAGATTAACGATGTTTCTTTACTTATAAAGGAAATAATCTCATTTTTAACTACAAAGGACCAGAAAGTCCTAAAACATCTCTTGTGTGTTTGTTGCCCACCAAACAGCCTCCATGTTTGTTTACTACTTTCATCCATGTTTTAGTACATTTCTGCATCAGACTGTAAAACTAACAGACGCAGACAACAAAAGGCAATCTCTATAGGTTTCAGACAAATTGAGACACTTTGGTACTAAATGTGCTTGATGGTTGCACAAATCTTGGAAAACGTGTTTATTCAGTTTTGACTCGCCAAACGTTGTCCTTGTCGGGGTTTTTTTTTTGCGTGTGCATCCATTCGGCCAGGCTGTAAAGCTGAACTAGATTATCTAATATGATAATGTTCCTCATGCCTGAGTTTGTTGTTAAAACGACCGTACGGTTATGCAAAACAGACTTATTTATCTTCGTTTACTCACAGGAAGAGATGATTAAACTGGTTTCAGATTTAAGATATTTAAATCTCTCATTCATTCATTTGTTATTTAAATAACTTTACAGTGGTCTCTGGTATGAGCTCCTCTTTAGTATTCATGATGTTCCACTATCTCGCCTCTGATTGGGTAAAATCAGTGCGGCTCTTCCACTGCCTCCATTCGCTCTTCTTTCTTGGGTAAAATAAACGCAACATCTCCACAAATAACACAAGCCTGGAGGAGCTCTGCTGTGTTGTGGGGTTGCTAATGCTAACTGTTAGCTTCTACTAGCCGAAGCTAGCTAATAATCGGTCAGAAGCCAATACGGGAAGCAGGTAGGAGACTATTGAGTGGCTGATAAAATGTTTTCTCGGTGAACTTGGTCTTTATACAGAATTCTATTTGTTTCCATTCCTCTTCTAAGCTAGGAGGCTGCATGGTAGCACTGTTGCTTCGCAAGAAGGTTGCATGTTCAAATCCCGGCCTTGCTGCACCGAGTTAACATTCTCTGAATTATCTCTAGGTGTGAGTGAGTGGTTGTGTCTCTCCGTGTCCCTGCCATGGACAAGGAGACCTGTCCAGGGTGTCCCTGTATCTTTTAGTGACCAATTAGGGGCCATTTTGATGACATCATAACTACTTCCTGTTGCCCACAAGCTACACAACAAGGGGAAGGGGGGTGAAATCATGACTCTCTCCAATTTCTTTCTCCTAATTTCTAATGTTTTGACGCTTGTGTTGCTGTAAAACCTGTAAAAACAGTCGGGTGATGATTGTGGCTAGGACGTTAGCTCAAGGCTAACGGCTACTGGTGTTCCAATCTGAAATCTCACTGAGACAGAAGAGCGATCGCAGCCATTTAGCTGTTTTAAGGGTTTGTGTGTTAAACGTGTCACTGTAGTCTCATCGATGGCGACTAGAAGACGAGATGGAGAGGAAGAGGAGCCCGAGGGCGGAGAAAGTTTTAGATTCTTCTCCTTTGACGTTACCCACCACCCGCTTTCACTAATAAATCTGAGACGTCCAATTATCTGGTCTCTGTCCCGCGGTGTGAATGAAAGGCTGCTTCCAGCTGTAAGGCGTTGGCGGGAGGCGACCCCAGAAAGCAGGCCTAGTGCCGCTGATGTAACCCAGCTCAGCGTCAATTTCCTTTTTTAGCTTCTTCCCCTCAAACGCAGTTTAATTCAGGCGTTTCATTTCCTCTTTTCACCGTCTAACAATGTTTGCTGTTCTTTTACTTCCTTCGAGGGATTTAAATGTGAAAAGCTGCTTCAGACGCTCGATCGGCTGTCAGAAACGGTGACATCACAGGAGAGGCGTGCGCCGTTGGTTCGTTCCCTCATCGCTTTTGTTTCTGTGCTCCTCAGGTTCCCAGCAGCATCCGGACTCGCTCCCTGAGCTGGGACAGGACGCCGTGACGTCAGTCGGCCCATCTTCTCCTCTTCCCCCCGCCATGACCGAGGAAGAGCGTCTGGAGCTCCAAGAGGAGTTGGCCAGGGTCAGGCTAACAGAAAAAAACACCTCTAACTGAACCCCGAGAGTTTCTGAGCGTTTATTTGTTTCGCTCAGGTCGAGGATGAGATCCAGACCCTCTCCCAGGTGTTGGCGGACAAAGAGAGGCAGGTGGCCGAAATGAAGAGGAAGCTGGGCATCTCGCCGCTGAACGAGCTGAAGCAGAACATCACCAAAACGTGGCAGGAGGTCACCACCTCCACGGCGTACGTGGCGTTGTCAGATCCCTTCGAAGTCGGTATTCGGTGTCGGGCTCTGAGCTAAAAGCATTTTCCTCTCAGAAACACGGACACGGAGCACGGCTTATCCGCGGCATGTGCAGGAAATGAGCCGCTTTCTCATTCCCTCCAGCTCATTTCAGCCGTTTAGTTCTGACCTTCATGTCTTTTTATTTTTTTACTCTGTCTTTGATCTTTCAGTCTCTCTGATTTACTCACATCCTCCCTTTCTGCCTCCTCAGCTACAAGCGGACCTCTGAGACGTTGTCCCAGGCCGGTCAGAAGGCCACGGCGGCCTTCACCAACATGGGCTCAGCCATCAGCAGGAAGCTGGAGGACGTCAGGTGAGTCGCAGGCTTCAGGTGGAAGACTTCCAGTTAAACCACTCGTGTCTTTAGCTAAAACACAACAACTCTGAGTTTTTAAGCTATGATTGTTTAATTATGGAGTTTTATTCTGTTGCTGTGATGCTAATCCGGTTCGACCGATTCCTTCAGCCTCCTCTCATAATCCAGCAGGTGTGGCGTGTTTGGATTACCGAGCGGCTGGTTTTACTTCCCAGGTGTGACGTTGTGTTGAAACAAAAATGTCTCCTAAAGGCAGCTCTGCAACACTATTCCCTCGGTCCTAATCCTCTCTGGATTATTCAGCTGCAAACAAGATTATTAGCCCCTAGAAGCTGAAGGGCTTTGGGAAACGTGTGTGCGTGTGTGTGTGTGTGTGTGTGTGTGCGTGCGTGCGTGCATGTGTGTGTGCGCGCGTGTGTGTGTGTGTGTTTTTGTGTGTGTGATGTCCAGATAGTGACCACAGGATTAGCACGTATCTGATATTCCACAATCAAGCCGGATTTAAATGATCTGGAGTAAATTTGTGTTTTTTTTCTTTCTCTCTAACGACTAACCCCTCCTCTCTTCCCCGTAACGCTGTCGGATAGTTTACAGTCGTTACAGCACTCTGCTAGCATGCCCGCTTTAAGGTAAGGACGTCACGACACTCGCAGGAAGAGAAACGCCTCCTTTCCACGTTCGTGACAACAAGATAATCTCACCCAGAACTCGAGTTAAAACCCGAGTAGAAACGCCCGCCCTCGCCAACAGCTGGGCGGGATTCTCACGGGCGGACGGAAGTTCGGTCCCGAACATGACGGGAACAAAAACATCGATGACGGGATGTTTTAGCTCAAGATCTGGTCGTGAGATTAAAGCTGAGTTGGTGTTTCTGTGCTAACTGGGTTCCTGCAGGACTCATAAGGTCTTTTATTTGTTTGCCTCATTTATTTATTTATTTATTTATTTATTACTCTCTCAGGAACGCACCGACTTTCAAGTCATTTGAGGAGAAAGTGGAGACCCTGAAGGTAACGGGATGTTAAATGATTCAGAAAACAATAAACCAGGATTGAAAACTTGTGATTTTATTGTGTTCGTTTGTTTGTTTACCTGCAGACTAAAATCACCCCCTCTGCACCCGGTGGCCGCTCCGGTAGCCAGGATGACGGCGTCCCGCAGACCACCGATTCAGATGGCTTCCCTGCCCAGGACGCTCCGCTGCACTGAGACCACGCCCCCTCTACCCACCTGTGTACCTGTCTCTCTCTCTGTCTCTCGTGTTAACTTGTGGGGAAACAGGAAGCAGGCGACGAGTTCCCACCCTTGGTCTAATGCCAGCTGTGTACATTGGCGTGTTCAGATAAATCCTCCCTGAGGTGTTTCTTTTTTTTTTTCTGCCTCTAATTTCGATGCCAAACGTGCTTCAGTAAATACTTCCTTTATTAAATAATCACTTGAGTTTAGGAACGTTGCAGAATTAAATAATTGAATTATTTCTGCTTTAAATAGTCCTTTTCCTTTTGTCAAATGTTAAAAGTTGTTGTTATTAATACACTTTGTCTCCAGTTAGTTATTTTTGGGTCAGAACTCTTTATAATAATGGAAAATTTTACAAACATGAGCCCAAGCCATGAAACTACGCTTTTTTTTTTGTGTCGTTTGAGCGCCTGTGCCTTATGGGTCCGTTTCTACGCTGTAATGAACAAAACTACTGGTTTAAAAACAGGAACTCGTTTCGTTTGACAGAAAATGAACCCCGCGCTCAGCCACAGGGAAAACAGCCGAGTTCAGCAGAACAGTCAAACACGCCATCAAGGTCCGGCCTTGGCCCGAGCTGAGCCTGAAATAAATGTTTCTTCCACAACCGGCCAGAGTCGACGTTTAAACACTGGAGCATTGTTTCTGAGGGGGCGGCGACACGCTGGGTGGGTTACGGTCTAGGAAAAGCATTCACTGGCTGATGTTTACTATCAGTCTAGTAAAGAGACCGCCACACTGCCAGGATTGTTTCCTTCCTTTTTGTTACTTATCAAATTAAATTAGTTTGCTTTGATGTTGCTGTGGCAAACTGCAGGATTACACTCTGTGTTTCTAGAAAATGCTGCTTCCAAATGTCACTGGATCACATTATAGTAGAAAAGTGAACTCTGTTGCTTTAACAGACTTGTGGAAAAACACCTTTACTAGTTGATGAAAGGCAAATTGAGCCAAGTTGAACACAATGAAACCTGAACTTAAACTTAAGTGCAGGAAACGAGGAATCCTAAACACTTCCTTTCTGCTGGCACACTCCCTCCCCTGATGGTGGACAAAAAGTCTCACCATCAAACATTCGTGATAGGAGCAACTTCACAAAATGTGAGATATTCAGTGTCAGGCTCTCGCCGCCTTAGACTAATGGTAAAATAAAAATAAAATAAAGCCATGGTTTTTATTTTGCATTCATGTTTACAACACTTACAAATGTTTATTTTCTCTGTAATAAAACCAAAAGAAGTGGATGTCTGCGAATACAAATAAAAACGTGCTGATGTAAAAGGAATTTGTTTCGGTCATTACTGAGTGACCTCACTCTGGTGCAATACCTCCTCTGAACACATGAGGGCAGTAAAGGACAAGTACCGCACAGACCACACCTGGTAGCTGATTAACATGAGCCTAGAGACAAAACTGTCATGTCTGTGAAGAAAATGAACAACAATCAGGTAATGATTTAAGTTTATATTTTTGTGTTTTTATGCAGCTATCAAGCATTTGAAAGAAAATTTCAGGGCCTAAACCTATCTTTAAACGTTGATCTGAAACAAGCCCCTGAAATCCCTGAGACTTGTTTTAAGTTTTGAAAGCTCAAAAATCGAAAGCAGTGGCCGAAAAAAGAATAACTTTCATTTCCTTAGTTAAAATGTTAGCCTTTTCTTGTTAAATTGTAGTGATTTACTGATTTAAGATGTGCTGCCTCTGTTTTCTAATTTTTTCCCATATTTATAAACTTCTATTAAAGCAGGTAATTCGAAAGGCAGGAAAGTCTGAGTAATAAACATAAATCTTAATTTTTTAATATTGGGGTAAACGTGAGTAAATCGTATTTTACTAATTAGTTTCACATTTCCAGGTTGTTTTCGTTGCCACCTGTGCTATAAGCTAACACTAGCTAATGGGTGACACATGGATTCAGTTTGTTTACATTTGTCTACTCATGAACGGAGCCGCTGTTAGCAACGTTTTTATTTCATCTGGCGGTCTTTAACAATTATTTTTAATTCTCGCATATTTCCTAAGTGGTATTAGCTGAACATTTTGTGGCTTTTTCTTCAGGCGCTACAAGGGGCCACCGCCCCGTTCTGCTAGGCTGTGCTACATGCTAAGCTAAACTAGCAGTTGGATATTTGGGTAAATTTTATTGAGTGCAACTTGCGACAACAATTTTAATTGTTAAGTACAAAAAAAGCTTGGTTGTTCTGTCTTGACCAGTTTGTTGCGTTGCTTTTGTTTACCGCTAGGGAAAGCTGCAGTAGAGATACTTATATGTTAGCTTAACAGAAATGGCATATGAGAGCGGGTGGTTATATAAATTTGTATTCTCAGTAAAACAATGCTATTACCATTTTTGTTATTGGGTAAAAATTTCCTGCCGATTTAAATATTTTTAATTATCAATTTAAAAAATTAAAGCTTGTGTTGAGCACAAGTTGCTATATCTACCCATCACCACCAGGGGGTGCTTCACCAACTACCACCAGTTGATTTGCTGTAAAATAGCCACAAGTTCTTATTGTAACGTTATTTATTTGTGATTAATTCGGATGCATTTTATTATTCTGCAACAATAGATGTCAGGGAAAGGAAAAAGTTCAGCCTCGTTGATGCAGAAGACACGCAGACAGTGGTTAACAAACAGCTGCCAAAAAATCTTTATTCAGTTTTACCCAGATGCTGCAGAAACATTTACTGCAGAAAGTCTAAACCGTATAACCAACAACAACAACAGCACCAGAACGGAAAATGTTCATTTACAGGAACTATGGCAGTTTTTACACAGAAATCACAAAAAAGTGAACAAAAACATTACAGTTAACAGTCAGTGAGATTATTTTTGTGGAAAAAAGATCTTTATATATTGATAGAATCCATTGGATAGTATTGTTTTAAAGAATATATGAAAACATTATAGGTGCAATAGCATATACATTTTAGTGAAATAACAGATATTGCAGATACTGTGCGTGGTGTGTCATTGATAAATATTTCCCTATAAACTCAGTGTGAGACACTGACGACTGCTTTTATGTATGGAGAAGTAGACTATTTTAAATGTATAGAAATAACATTCAGTTTAGACATGGCTTTGTTGTGTGAGGTCTAAATCCCAAAATGAGAGTTTGGGATGAATATATAGATATATATTTTTATTAGAAATACAGCTTTTCCTGTTTGGTACCAGACTCGCATTTGAACGCCGCCGCTGGCTCAGCATGAAGAGGTCGAACAGCGACGGTTTCCAACCCACCAGCATCTATTTAGGTGATTTTAATGGGACAATATGAAATCTTTACTGTCTCTTCTGTTACTTTGTTTAATATTTATAAATTAAAATTTGTTTCCGTTTTCAAATATTAAATACTTTATTAGTTAAATGTTTACCGTAAATAAACTAGCTGCAGTGATGATCTGGAGATTTAGTCCAGGTATTCCTATCCATTTCAATTATTAGTCCCCACTTAAAAGTTAAATAGGAACCTGGAAACATATGACCTAGAACGTTTGCTCTCAGGATCAAGAACACTGGACCTACACTGTAAAATTAGATTAGTTCACCTTACTTTAAAAACGCATGCAAAACAACTGTGCTTAAAATAATAAACAGCAGTGGATAATTATGAGTTGAAACTACTAAAATTTATAAAGTAAAATGCATTTAAATGCAAGTTACTATGACTAAAGCCCAGATCACACTGCCAGATTTGCGGCTGTCTTAGCCAAATCCTCGTCGGGAGCATAATTGTGTAAAAAAACGGTGGACATGAGGGTGATTTGCAAATCTGTGGTCGTCCAGTCTGACCGGCTGTGCAACAGCTTTTTGAGCCGTCTCACGACCCAAATCAGCCTCCCGACAGTCTACAAGCATGCTTAAAAATCCTGTCTGCAACCGACCAATGAAAACAGACCTTAAGACAAAGCAGTACTTTGAAATTTGCTTACTGAACTAGTATTTCTGAGTTGTATATACTCATAAACAAATGTATATGTACACTGGTTTGTCTTCGTTACATATTTTCATCAATTACAACAAATTATACGTATGATCATAATGGTGTCAGGTCCAAATGTATCTTCCCTCTGAAAAGAGTTTTCTGTTTTTTCTGCCATGTTTTTAAAACCAAGTGTTAAAATACTTCGATTATTATTAAAATTATATTATTATTATTCGATAATTCCAGAAATGCCAAACTTCTGAAACCTTGGAGATTAGACGGAGCCAGAAATCTAACAATTTCATGGCAAAAATTCTCATGTTCACATTTTTAATCACAATTTTTTCTAATAAAAAAATTTGCAATAAATTTTTTTAATATATATTTACATTTTTTGTTTTTCTGAAGCACCTCGTGATTTTCTCTCGAGAGGGGCTACATGAAAGATCGTTTTCTTTCTTTCATTATGTGCCTTTAAACCTTTAGAAGACAAAAATACTACAACATTTTTTGAGCCACCTAAACCGGTTCCCTGTTCGTTTATGTTTATTTGCAAATTGTTGCAGTGATATGAATGACACCCCCCCCCACACACACACACACAATTGGTTTAAATAATCTGGTTCAGAAATGCTGGCAGGCTGAGATTTCTCTATTAGCAAAGCTAATTTAGCTGCAAAACCTCTTTATGCTGAGTCATGCTAATTCGCTAAGTTGCTCCTGAGAGTGGTATCAATCATTTTTGTCTATAGTGACAAAAATGCCACTGACATACAGCTTAACATAAAATGATCGTTATTTGCGCAAAAGGTGCATTTTAATCACCAAATTTTTTATTTTCCTGATTTTTATTTGATTAAAATTTGCCACAAATTCAAAACAGGCCTTGAAACCGTTAGTATAAAAAAGGATGAGGCTTTTTTTCTTGGTTTTGTCAGATCCAGTTATATTTAAAGTGATTTATCTGTTTTAGTTACACAGTTAGCTGTATTGCTGTCTCTTACTTTGAAACTCAGAGGTTTACCAGGATGCTAACGCTACAACCGGAGGGCCGTTTTACGCTGCTTCTCGTCATCATCGCTTCCAATAAACAACTCGGACTCGCGCTGAAAATGATGGAGCTTCCTGCCACTTATGGGTTTGACTTTCATCCCCGTCGAGTTGGCCGATGGAATTTGTGGAATTCCTTAATTATTATGTGCTGTTGGATGGAGGCAGACGCTCTGCCGACGTTTATGATGATGAGTCGCTGGCGTGAAAAGTAGCAGTGGGAGTTTTAGTTGTCAGAGTTTTAGCAGTGAGGTATGACAGCTTTGCACATTGAAATGTGCATTATGGCTGTAGAAATGGCTTGGTCAGTCTTTGGAGGGAGTACACACACACACACACACACACACACACACACACAGCAAGCCTTTGTGTTCACTTTTTCAACACAAGCAGGAGGAGGTGTAAATGCTACACCGAGCAGATGGAACGTACCTCGGGCGGTCACTTCACACACTCCTCTTCTGACTCTTAAAGAACACACACACATACACACACTGATGCTAACAGCTCCAGAGAGGAGCGATGCTTTTGAGACAAGAGCAGCGTCCACATCATCCCAGAATGAGACCTGAAGCCACAGGGACATATGTGGTGGAGTGAGGGCATCAACCACCCCGGTGGAATGATCTGATGTTGCCGTGGTGACAAATGCTTGCTGCAGCCGACATGTTTGGTTGCATAATGATGCGCGGTTGATCAATACAGACGTACAGAAATGGGAAGAATTTGCACCCTTACAGATGCCTAGTTGTAATTTGTTTCAGATCAAAAGAAATGTCAATATCCGAGGAAGGTAACTGGAGTAAATATAAAATGCAGGATTTGCTGCTAGAGCGCAGATTTCATAGTTCCATCAGTTACAGCGAGTGGTCATGAAGCCCAAGACCATCACACTACCACCACCATGCTTTACTGCTGGTAATGTGGCATTACCTTCCAGAAAGATCCGCTTTTGTCTCATCCATTCATGGAATGTTTTCCCAAAAAGTCTTTGGGAATCCTCAAGATATCTTCTTTTTTGTTAAATATGAGACGCTGATGATTTCTCCGGGGAGCTTTCCTTTTTTTGCGCCGCCCCTTTCTCGCTGCGGCGCAGAAACGGATTTTCAAAAACGTAAAATGGCTATTTTTATCTAATTTTTCAGCTTAAAAGAAAATCAATCTTATTTAGCAAATAAAGCATTTCATGAGGTAAATATTGTTAAATATGATCGAAATGTTTTTGTTTTTAGTACAAAAAATACGCAAAAGTTGCTTGGCTAAAATTCTTAAAACTAGAAAAATATCCAATGTTGGATTT